CGTACCAGTAATTGCATCTCATCTATTTTTAAAACCAACTAACTCCAAACCCTCCCTTACATTTTTGCTATCTTCTCTTATGTTGCTGCTTTCTGCTCCTCCCTTCCCCATCAGTTTTCCTTCTGTGCATTTATAGTTAACATCTTGTTTTATTGTATGGTGTGTTCCAAGGTATTGAGATTTTGCATCACATCTTCAGATGATCCCAAGACCTGTCCTGTATGTGCCTGTTCATCTCTCCAGATGACCAGAGATAAGTTAGATCATAAGAAGAGTTGAGAAGAATTGTAGAGAGCTGCTAAAAGTGTGTGTGTATCACCAAAAACCAGAAAGGTCAGCAAATGTGTACCAGTGTAAATGAAGCCCTGCCTGTGCTGGAATAGTTGTCTTACTTGCTAGGCTCTTTTGAGAAGCAATCCACTTGAGTCAGCACAAGCCCCCTGTAATAAGCTAATTTAAGCAGATTTAACTATTATTTACACACTGTTTTTGGTGAGCAGAACGTTCCAGTTGCTGGGGTAGGCTCAGCAAGCCCTCTGCTCAGATGGCAACTACATCCAAGAAGCAAAGGGGGTGGTAAGTTGCAGTGGGAGCAGGAGGGAGCATGCTGTGTGCAGGTTGTACAGCCATAATATCCGTATTCTCTGTGGATCACCCTAGAAGATACGGCTCGGTTCTCATAGCAGAGCCCTTCCTGCATGTGAAAAAACAAACTTGTAGCCACAGACAGATTGGAAAACATTCAGTGTGGAAGGCAAATAAATCAGAGGTGATAGAAGTCTCTGTAATAATGACTAGTATGCAGAAAGGGCTTTTGTGTTTTCTCTAGCTTGTAACAGAGTAGATGAAAAAGTGACATTTGCTGGTTTTTATCAATACTGAGAAGTTAATTTTTTTTTTTAAGCAGCCTGTATCTAAAACTGTGATTTGGTATTGCAGCATTTGTGGAAGTTTAAAAACAAATTCAGCAGAACTGTGAAGTTGACATTTATGTGAGTAAGATACATTTTAGAGAGGATGTTAAGATCTCCATGGTTTAGTTTTAAGCTACTCTTTTTAATTATTAGGAATTAGTAACTGGCCTTTCTCTGATGGCATCTAGTCTTGATCAGTCAGAACCAGAACAGTGTGTTTAAGGGTTTGTAGATTTCATTTGATACGCAAGTTCCTGTATTGTGACTTAATTAAATAATTCATTATTACTGACTTAATTAAGGCAGTGTTTACTCAGTGACTTTGAACCGTTCAGTGTTTCAGTTATTTTTAAATTTTGGCAGCAAATATGCACTGATTCTCTGTATATAGAAATTATTATTTCATGTAAGTCATTTTAATATATGAAATCCTACACTGACTTATAATGCAAGTTGCTGTGCTTTCAAATTTAATTTTAATGAGGTTTAGTTTTTTTTTTTTTTTCCTGAATCTAATTTGACTTTTAAAACAAACATTTTCTACTTCAGGAATAACATCTTATTTTTATCAGCCCTGGTTTATTCTGCCTAGTTATTCAGGTCTGGTGGTTGGTCATGAGTCCAGCTGCCAGGGGAGAAGGCAGTGAGAACTGGGGCTGAGATGAGCCTAGTGGGTAAGGGACGGGCAGCCTCTGCCAGCTCTTCAGCAGCTGAGAATGTCATGGACTTTGACAGGAGCCAGGGCTTGCTGGCATCATGGCTTAGAGGTTGAAAGGTAGAACCATAGAAAAGCAGTAGAGGAAGTGTTTGTCCCTTTGATTTGTTTTGGCTCTTGAGGACTTGGTGATTCCTTAACTGTTGCTGAGTGCTCTCAAGTAGCCACTCCTTGGAGTGGTTCAGCTTTCCAGACTATGCAAAAGAGTGTTTTCTCACTGAACTGCTTTTCTCTCTTTATATACATACACAGTTGTAGTACTCAGCTTTTAAGAAATAAGAATGCCTGCTGCTTCATATAGTGTGGTTGGTTGGTGTTGGAGAGTCAAACCCACGTGGGTTGATGTTCCTTAAGTGCACCAAGCAGACCTGTATGTCCTGTCCACTGCACTGGCACCAACTCATTAATGGTGATAGGAGTGCCTGAGTGTCACTTGACAAAGCTGCGGGGTCCCAGTCCTGTCCTGGGGCCTCCAGACCTTTCATAGCTCCCAACTGATGCACAGCAGTAAAGAATGTGGCTTATTGCAGTTAGAGATAACAGGAATGGCATTTGAAGGAAAAGGTATCTGGGGGCAAGCTGAATGCATTTGATATAAAAATGATTGAGTGGCAATAAACTTTATAACAGTCTGCTTCTGCGTGTACTTTCTCTCCAGTGCTTGAAAGGAAGCTTTGGGTTGTGCCTTTCATCACTTCAGAGTGGATTTTGCAATTATGCTGACCCTGAAAACTTGTAGAACATGACACCCATTCCCAGTATTTATCAGTATCTCTCATTTGTAGTTTTATGCCTCTCTTTTAGGGCACTTGTTTCAGTTGGTTCCAGCGGACGATAGCTAACATCAGTTATCACCAATATTACTGCGTCTTGGAACGGTGCTGGTTATGATGAATAATGGTTGGCAAACCAATACTTTTTTTTCCTTGAGAAACACAAATCATGCTTGTCTCCCAAGTGAGCTGATGGTTTGGCAGGGTGAAGGGATGAATAAAAATTGCCTTCTAAGTGCATGCAAGTTGACAGCCTGAAAGGTGATTTTCTTGACTCATATACTTCAGGTTCCTGGGTTTTACATATGGCAAGTCTCCAGAACAAATATTGCTTTTGGAAAACCTAATCAAATTCTGCCATAAGAGTTAAGTTACTGAGTGTCAGGCCTCAAATGATATGCTTGATTTAGACTTCTCTAGAGTTCAAAAATTGCAAATTTTATCAGCAGTGGTTTCATGGAAAAATGCAAAGCACAAGTTGAAACTTTTGTAAGAGTAAACATAGGCACTAGGGCTTTTAGAGGGGGTGAGTTCAGCATAGAAGTATAATCTGTTCAGTGTTTTTTCAAAGTTTGCCTTCATTTCCTTGGGAATGCTTTGAAGGGGATGCTGTCACCCCACGTCATATTGTGTTCTTATACAACAAACCCTTTTGTAGTATCATGTACTGATACTGAAATTTGTTTTATTTGGTGGGTCACAGTTTGAGATCCCTTTAATGAAAAGGAAATAGCAAAAGAATAGAGAGAAAATGTAAATTGAGTAATTTTACTTCTCCCTCATAGTCTTATGCTGGCTAGAAGAGACAATTGAATGCAAAAATTGGTGTGTAGTTTCAACTTGTGCTTTGTGGGCTGTGTGTTAGGAAAAAAAATTGAGTTACCAGTTCACCAACTCTTCTCCAGAAGAAAACTGGAACATGTTTTTGCTTTGTAGGTGGAGTTTTTAAAACACTGCATACAAAATCTGTAGCATGTGGCCCACATAGCCCAAGTCTAGAGAAATCTGGTGTAGTTCAGAATTAATATGAGCAAATTTTGTTTGGGAAAAGAAGAGAGAGATATGATGCAGGCTTTGGATTAGGATTTAAAAATGGGCAACCAGAGCGAATAGATTGGAACTGGGGAGGTTCAGAACCTGCTGGTACTCATAATGCCAAGTGAGCGGTGAATAAATGGCCTTGTGGGGAAGGAAGATTTGACTTCAGCTGTGACCAAGGTTCCAGGACTTAGAGGCAGCAGCTCACTGGGGGAGGTGTCTTTGCTCTGGCTCTGGTTATGCTTTGGTGTCCCTTTCAAGCTGAGCTTGGTTGAATGCTTGGTTATGCAATGAGTAAGTGCATTGGTGGTGCTGGATGGTGATTTTCCTGAAAACTGGGTTCTGAAATGGTGTGGCACTGATACAGTGCTGATGGAAACTTTTAAACTGCAATTCTTAGTAAGTGTTTTCAGTGCAGTACGCTGACCAGCCTCACTGCCTGGCTCATCTTGGAAGGGGCAATACAGCCCCCATCCCCCCAGCCACCTTCCTCACCACATTTTCTTTTCTAAGGTGCAATTACAGAGACTGAAATGCTAAGCAAGGGAAGTCCTATCAGCATTTCTCTGAGGAAATACTGCAGTGAAACAAAAATTTCTTATGTTATATCTGAAACCATTTGGGTAGAGAAATGAGAAAGCATTCTCCTCGATTAAATTGCAACTCTTCTGGTAATAAGCTCTTATAACATTGAGTAAATAGTGAGCTAATAAAATTGTTTCCTGCCTCTCATCCTAGAGGCCGCTGAAGAATATGTTACTATTTTAATTCTTCCTTAAGTATGAGTGGTTTCATTGCTGATCAGCTGTTGTTCATAAGAGTCATATTATATTGTAGTTACTTGGTGGCACAGAATACACAAAATTTGTTAAATGTTATGTTTGTAGAGGTCCAGCGCTGTTTTCCATCTGTGTGACTGTGGGACTCTACTTGTTGTATTATTGCTCCAGGAGAGAAAAGTCACAAAAGGCAAGGCAGCTGTGGCCTGTAAACCTTTGCTGCCCTGTGTACTTTTTCTGGCAGTCTGGAGTTTCTGTAGTTTAGTGACACTTGGCCAGAAGAATCAGGTCAGGAAATAGACATTTGATGTTCACTTCTTTGAGATTTAGGATTTTTTTTTCAAAGGAGCATAAATTGCAGTAGTTGGAAGCACCAGAATGAAGAGCAAGATGATGCAAAATTGAACCAAATGGCAGCTTAATTTTATATCAGTCCACAGATAAATGTAAAATACTTTCACCTATGCTAATCATAGGAATTCTGTAAAACAAGGATGAATTTGACTAAGCTGTGTCCCTTTCTTGAATATGACAGGATTAAAAACACTATTACAAACACTCATAGATATTTGAGATTGGTTTGTCAGAGTCAGCCAAATCAGAAACAGGGAAGCTGGCACATTTTTATTGAAGTACCTCCATGCAAAATCAGTGTTATCAGTCTATCTCTTTGCAAGACAGTTGCTTTGGGCATCAGCTCTCTATTGTAAGTGTCACATGTGAATTTTTGTAAAATCAATACAGGTCTTGAATATTGTGTACTCCTTTGTCATGTTTGCAGGACTTCTCAATAATGGCCAATCTAAAGGATTAGGACCAGGATCAGAACAGCTGGAGAATGAGAAGGACGATGCATCGCAAGTGTCTTCAACAAGCAACGATGTTAGTTCTTCAGATTTTGAAGAAGGGCCTTCAAGGAAAAGGTCAGTAGTGAATTATGATTAAAGTAGAGCCTTTCATCTTTGTCCCTTTTGTCTTAGACTGTTTTTTATTTTATCAGAAGGGTATGGTTGCACTTACTGCCCTACCATAAATGGACTTTCCAGCATAGATTCCTTCTATGAACAGCAGACTGTGCTTCTCCCATTGGTAGAGATGGTTCTTGGTGCTGTTTTGGAAAGCATGGAAAAACAGTTGTTATTTTACAGTGGATAAAGCTAATTTAGATGCCTTAAGACTTTCTCCTCTCCTGGCTTTTGCCTCTCAGGCCATGTCAATATGTATGTGTGTGCAATTACAAGGAAAGCATCACTAAAGTAGTTACTGTTACTGTTGTTATTTTTAGTTTTCAGTGAATTAAACCGTCTAAAGTTAAAAAGGTAGAAAAGGACAGAACAGATACTGCTGAGAAGAGGAACTGCATAGTAATGTAATACAGCGGCTATTGGCTGCAAAGAACTGCTTTGAGATACTGCTGCAGCAAGCTGCCTTCTCTTTCCTAGAAGTCACTGTATGTGCAAAATGTGGGTTAAAATCATAGACCTCAAGCCAGTCAATTACAGAAAATATGCTGAGAATGCAGGCAGCTGGGAGTTGTCCTATCTGTGAAGTAGGAACGAAAGCAGGCTGTCTAGAAAATGACACTTAAAAGAGAGTTAGAAATGCTTCCTCAACCTGTTTTCCTCCTCACTTCTCACATCCTAGTTCCAAACCAAAAATGAACTATATAGTAATAATAATAATAATAGTAATAATAATCATACCACCACCAGTTATCTTTCAAACAAAAAAAGTTTGAATCCCTGTTTTCTGTATGACCTTATAATTCCACTGAGAAGCCTGATGGGGTGAGGAGGACACCCTCCTTTTCCTGTTCCAGTGTTTCCCATCCCTTGTTCCCACAATCTTTTCTGGAATAAACTCAAAACTCTAACCAATGCACCCACTTAGCTAATCAGGCATATCAGAATATTAATTTATATTATTTTATATTTATATTGTTCTATATTTATATATAAATAAAAAATTCATGTTCTCTTCCATACTGGTAGAAATTTTGCAAAGCTTATTGCATCTTGCTGCTGCTCAGGGCAAAGATAGTTGTGTTCTGATTTTCAGTTTTGTGTGATACAACAGAGGATTGAAAATTATTTCTGCTGGGCTGTTTAGGTGACCTCTACTGTTGGCGTGATCCTGGGAGACCATGGTCATTATTTCATGGCCAGCCTGTTGTTTGCACATTGTCTTAAAGAATTTCTGCTTCCCTTTACACTTAGTTTGTCCCCTCATTCCTCAGCTGTGCTGACATAATGACTTGCAGGGTCACACCATGAGTAGCTTCAAGAAGCTGGTTGAGATTAAAAATAATAGTGAGAAGAAGATGAATTGAGGCTTTTTGACAGGTTTTTACATATCTAACCTGCATGAGACTTATATCTCCTGTTCAGAGTATGGTTGTAGGAGCAGCTACTGGTGCAACCAGGGGGGACATCCTCTTCCTCTTCTGGGGCTAGCAAAGGGCAGGAGGGCTTGTCCTTTACACTGTACCTGCTCCTGGTGCCCTGCATAGTCCAGCTTCAGGAATGTGTAGAGTTTCTGCATTACCAGTGTTCAGAAACTGTACTTGAGTTCTCTGGATGAAACGTTTTTGGAAGAGTATTTGGTAGGTTTGGGCTGGGTGAATTCAGACCCTTGAGAGGCAGCTAGGTGGTTCAGACATAGTAGGCAGCTCAGTGCCTTTGGTACTTTTCAGATTAAAACCAACAAAAAAACCCAGCCTCAACACAGACCCAAGATGAAAACTTTTTCTGGCTTTCATGGAAGGCAAAGCATAATTTCACTACTTCTTCAAGCATCATGAACTGTTGAAATAATACTACAGTTGTTGGTTCTGTTGCTGTGAAGGAGTTCGTTCTTGTTTTGTTTCCATTTACACCCAACACAGACTTTTGCCTATTTTTAATTCCTCCTTGAGCTTCCTCTTTGCAGACAGACCTTTTCTGGGTTCCTTCTCTTAAGCTGTAGTGGAGCATGTTGAGTGTTTTTATGTTGTCTTCTTATTTCCTTTTAGGCTTTTTGTTTTGTTTAGCTGAATATGCAATGTTTCTTCAATCCAGGTTATTTTGCAATCCCAAAAAGAGTTGTGTTGGGAATATTGGTAAACAAAGGATGTGTAGGAAGATGATGAGGGGGCAAACAGGACTGACATGGAATCTCTAGGTTGACTGCCTCAACTTTTGCCAAGTTTTTGCCAAATTTTGAGAAGTTATGTCCTCCTTGTCTTCCCCCAGGATTTCTCAAAATCAAACTTTACAGTTGTCTGTTCAGCTGCATGTATAACTAAAGACACTCTTGTAATAAAATACACCTTTAAAGACTGTAGCTTTAGGAATGTACTCTGAACCAACCATTATATGTAAGTTACTTTTATTTCTTGATAGCTTGTGGGGTTTTGTTGGGATTTTGATTTTTTTGTTTGGTTTGGTGTTTTTTTTTGGTTCATGACAGGAATGGTTTTTCAGAAGCTTGAACCTGTCATATTCTAGAGGAATAAGTCACCTTTATTTCACACTCACATTGGAAAGAGGTGCTAAGCAAATAAGTATAGTAAATATGGGAATCTGTTGTAAAGGGCTGCAGTTTCTTTAGTGATTTAAAACTCTGGTTTCAACTTTCAGTTCTTCAGTGTAGTGGCAGGCTGGTACTGTGGAGGCAATATTTTCCCAGTTTCTTCTTGCTGCCTTTTCCCAGCTGCTGTGTCTGGCAGTCTTCTGGCCCCTGTTCATCTGTTCAGGGACTAACCTGGCAGCATTTCCTCCCCCTGCATGGAGCAGGTCACCTTTTAGAAAGGGAATAGGGATTCATGCATGTATGCAGCATGTGTATGATTTTAGTTTGCATTTATAGTTGATTCAAACTCCTCCAGTTTCAGAGACAATTTGCACAAGAGCCTGGATGAGCAGTAAGTGTAAATTATTTTAGCAAACTGAGTGGAGGGTGAATTTCCTAGCAGTGAACATTGCTTTCTGGTCTCACTGTGCCAATCATGGGTCAAAACTAGGTAGTGGATGCTCCCAGTGAGTTTCTGAACTTAGCTGTAGATAGGTAGGTTCTGGCATCTGTGGGGGCAGTCAATCCTTACCAGCCTGACTGCAGACCAGTGACAAGTATGTCTTATTTCACATGGAGATGCCAAACAGAATAACGCAAAAGTAGAACCCCCAGCCAAGCACATCTTACGGTTTATCAATCTATTTATTTTCTGGTTTTAACCCCTTTTCTAGTAGCATAGCTTGATTGAAGAACCATAAGAGCACTGTGGTGGTGTTACAGTGAAAGTGTGCAGATTTGATATAATACTGCAGATTTTGTTTGGAAGCTCACTTTGATGAGCTTGTTTGATGGAGCAGGGTTTTTGAATGCAGTGGCCTGACACTGTTAAGCTTCAAATGGTTCCAATTAGTCAGCGTGTAGTCAGTAATTAATACCTTTGCTGTCTAGGGACTGGAGGAATCTTCTTACACAACCAGGTTTGGTTCTGATGCAAAAATTCCCCATCTCCATTTCTTTTTTTACATGTATAATTTTCTACTGTAATAGTATTTGTGGCACTGCAGATTTCAGCTGCTGGTGGTGGTGGTAAAGAGGAAAAGGAGTACATGTATAGCTTTGCCCCTTCACAGGCTCCAGATAAGTCCAAAAACTGTAAGCCCTTCTTACAGAGTAAATGGAGTTTGGGGGGGATTGGTACTGGCAGTAGGGGCAAGCTCAGTACTTCAGAATATTTACATTTGTTTGAGTTTACACTCAAAAGGATGGAAAACGCTTTGATCTGGGCTGTGTGTGTTGCTAGTGGCCAAGTCTGAGGGGAAGCAGTGGGGTAATGCTAATTAGTAAATACGATTTTCAGCCAGTAAAGGTGAAAAGTGCCAGCATTATTCCAACATGTGGCAAAAGCCAAGCATTGACATGTTACACTGAATCTGTTGTGCAATGGGTTCCTGTCTAGTTGCTGTGTAAATGAGAGAAGTTCCTGGTTTGTTCAATGCTTTGAGGAGAGATTAACAAAACTGTTGTTATATGGGCTTGATAAACTACCAGATTGGGTGGTCTTCACCATGTAAAGATCACACATTTTTCAAAACCTACGAACAAAAGGTTATTGCTGAAGGAGGAGTGTAGCTTCCATGTAGCTGCGTGTTATTGTTGTGAATCTCCAGTTTCCAACTATGATTCTCAATTGAAAAAATTAATAGGTAATTGGCCAAAGGTGTTTGGTGTTTGTGCTGGATGCTTGTACATTTTTATGGGCAACTCCAAAGACTACAACCATTGGCAATTAATAACAGTGTGCAGAGACAGCTGTAGGTTTTCTAGCAATGAGTTGCTCATCTTACTCAGTTTAGTGGTTTTGGTTTATTAATTTGAGATGTTGAGGAAGAGATATGCAGAGCAGACTTGATGTGATAGCATGTTTATTGTTGGTGGTAATAGGCTATAGCTTGCTTCCTGTTACTAATCAGGTGGCTACTCATTTACATGGCCCCCTTCCCAGAAATTCACAGGGGGAATTGTCAAATGCATTTCTCTTTTATTATAAAGTTGTGTTAATAGAGGGCTGTGCGAGGCAGGAAGAGGTTGACTGATTTTAGTAACTGTTAAACTTCTAAGTGGGGATTTTTAAAATTTTAATGCTAGAATATTCTCTGTGTTAAGGGGAAAAAATATTAGCTTAGTTTAGGAAAAAAATAGGGTTAGGGAAATTTCCTCAATGGAGTTGATGGACATTGCCCACTGGGCCAAGGGTGTGCAGAGCTTCTGGGAGAAGACACTTTGTCCAGTTCTTTTGCAAGAAAGGCAAGTTGGCTGCAGGAGAAAGGAACAACTCACTGGGGAGCAGTAGCATTTTAAGCTGTCACAGCTAGATTGGCCAGAAATTGCTTATTAGGAACCTTCTGAGGCCTTTAATTAATACAGCAGCTTT